TTGTACTGAAAAAACAAAAAAAATGAAAATGTAGATTACTTTTTTTGAACACATAATATTTTTACTTCAATCTTTGTACTGAAAAAACAAAAAAAATGATATGATTCAACCTAAATTTTAATTGAATTGCCGTAATAATATAGGTACATCACTTTTAAGTGATACAAATAATATGAAGAGAGTGTAGGTTAGTAAAAATAATGTTTTTGAATCGTCGCAAAACATTTAAAAGAAAAAGTGTGGGCCGCGGAGAATAGTGGAATTCTAAGGAAAAGGAAAATATAAAAGTTAGGAATAAAGAATGAGGTGTGATAATGAATTTTGGATTTAGAGGCATGGCATGTAGGGATGGCAACAGACCAGGTCGGGTACGAGTTTCATGATATTCGTCTCTGTTCCTGCAAGTTAAATTCATCTCCGTCTTTGTTCCCATATTTATTGGGTATAGATTTTCTTCTCCATCTCCATTTTCGTTGAGTATCGAATATACCTGTACCTATACCTGTACCCGTCATTTTTTATATTTTTTGTAAAAAAGAAGATATTTTTAAATTATTTTTTATTATAATAATTATAATTAAGTTATTTATTTATCTCATATTATAATAAATAATCACACATTAAAAAATATTAAAATTTTTAATATCATTAAATTGAAAGTGAGTATTAAATTAAAAATAAGAACGGGACGGGTACGGGTACGGGGCAGGTAAATACATACCCGTACCCGTATCCATACCGATTTAATATATCGGATTTTACCGTATTCGTACTTGTACCCAATCAAATTAAATATCTTTCGTTAAAGTTTGGACGAGTTCAAATATTATTGTCATTCCTAATCACATGGCCTTCACAGTAGGGCCTTCAAATGACTTTTGGATACGCAATGGGCTAATGGCCCACACATGTCGTCATCAAGATTTGGGCCCACATGACCGACCAATTCAGCCAACGTTTCAATCTATCTAACCTCTCTATTCCCCACATAAATATAATACTTATCAACATTCAAGCCAACAACACATTTATATTATAGCTTTTTTTTTCTTAAATTATTCTCAGGTTTAGTCAAAATTATATATGGTTGAATTAATGAAAATAATGTTTTACGTTTAATTATTATTGCATAATATAAGTGGTAATTCTTCCCTTCGTTCCACCTTTGATGCTTTTTCTTTGTTCGTGTTTACCCATATTCATTGAATAATGTTTGATCTTATTATTATTACTATTATTTGTCAGTATCTCATTATTGGACTGGATTCTTGTAAAGTGTACGAGTCCATTTTCAAAATTAAATATAATTGTAATTATTGATTAAAAATAGTTATATTTATTTATATGTGTCTGTATTTTGTTATACGTTAATTATTAATTTTGTAATGAGTTAGAAGAAAGAGACATTGCACGGCTGTCTATTATTTTAATAAATAAAAGTAAAAAGAGAGAGAGAGTGAATATTAATTTTTATGTTTTTATCACTCTTTATGTTATTTATCATGTCTAAATGATGTATTTATAAATCAAACATGAAACAAATATATTTATTATATCTTATTATGATTTTTAACAACTTAAACATACTTAAAATATCATCTTCATTATTAAATAGCTATAGATAATTTTAACTAAATGTAGTAATTAATATAATCACTAGATAATATAGTTTCTTAAACATGTTACAAGAAGTTATCTTTACGTCTCAACAAAAAATTAGTTTTTCAATTATTATTATATTTTATTATGTTATACTCTAGAATATACTTGTATTTTATTTTAAAAGGAAAATGAATCCGTGGTTATTTAATGGGAAACAAACAAACATCATACGAGAGAGGGTTCTCATTTAAAATGATTAATCATTATGTATCTTATATTAAGTCGTTTCAATTACAACCACAAGTTTATGATAAAAAAACATTGGTATCACTGTTTAACTGTTTAAGCAAATCATTTAGTTACAGCTAATTTTAGCGGTTAACCAAAACAATGAGTATTATTGGAGGGTACCATTGTGTGCGTGCTGAGTAAGAATTCAATAATTAACAATCAAGATATTTTTACTATAAAATTATTTTTAACTTTGACGTATTAGATAAATACATATAGTAAAATGTCTTTCACACTCGTGTCCGATCTAGTAGGACAACGAAAAAGAAAGGTTTGAATTAATAAATTTAATTGGGTTAGATTGACTTTGATTGAATTTATAAAAAAATTATTTAACTAATCTTAAATTAACCTGAAAGAGTCGGATTCAAGAGATAGATATTCATATAATATTTTTTTTTTTGTAAATATCTATAAAAAAAAAGATAGTCTTGGCATATGTTTTATATTTTACTTTTTTTAAAATATTAATTTATATTAATAATAAAGAAAATATTCATTTTTTATGTTTACGTTCTGTAGACAGTTTTATCTTTCAACTAATCCCTCCTCCAATTATAATAGTTTTTTTATATATGTCTTAACTATTTTTATTTTTAATTACGAAAATTCAATATGCATCACAAGACATGGAGTATTTTTTATCTAGTGAAGAATAAAAGGAACGAAAAAATAGGGAAAAAATAAAAGTGAGTTAGAATGACTTAATGGGGAAAAAATAATCTAAACTTATTTCCTTAAAATTGAATTGGATTCACAAAGTATAAGTTTAATAGATTAAATAAGTGAACATCTTCTCTTAACTTCAATTTTCTATGTTTATAAGAGTTAAGATTCAAACTTTGTCCACTAAAAAATTTGATTAAGCAATAATTATTATTTTCTATTTTTTTTAAAATTATATTTAAAATTACATTATTTATTATATTTTTAGTAAAATATTAGCGAGATATTAAATTAATGACAAAAGCGTTACAATTAAAAAGTAAAACACTAATGTTGGACAAAATCAGTTTTTTTGTATTTTTTTTGAAGATATAAACGAAAAAAGCAATTGAAAAATTAATGGAGAAGAACGTGCCACGTTTCATAATGAAGCTCATGTTCATTGTTCATCTATTCTTTTCACCAAAAAGCAACTTTCTTGGCTCGTGAATCACGATAAATTAATAATGTTAACCGGTCTGCTTAGAATACTAGGTAACAACTTTTAATTATTAAAAAATTAACACCTTATATATATATATATATATATATATTAAAAAAACATTAACAAAAAAGTATTTAAGTTTATTATAGCAGTTAATCGATTAACAGATGTCTAACTGGAATTGGTCTGTGTTGCTAACTTCGAATTTGGACAATTTGTTCCGCCAGTTATTGTCTTTTGTTCACAACGCACAAACGCTACTGATGCATTTTTTTATTTTTTCTTTTTTAAAGATCTTACGCATCATTTACAAACTTATCATTTAAATTGAATAAGATCATCGTGTACATAGAGAATTATTCCTTCTTATAAATTAAATACGAAGTATTTTTAAGTTTTTTTTTATTAAAGAAAGTAGTTTTAGACATTTTTAATGATTTTTAATATTTTTTTCATCTATTTAAGTTTATATTTATTATATTTTAAAATAAATTAGCAACAATAAAAAATAATCTTACACCATAATTTACATTATTTTTCACAAATACAAATTTTAATTTATATATTCAAAAATATAAAATTTAAATTAATATAGTGTATATTTAGAAATATATAATATTTATTTTAAAATTTAATTTTATCTAATTTATCTTATGTATCACTACATATTGAAATACTAGTATAACTATATATTTAAAGCTCGAGTATGCTAGTGACGACATAATTTATTTATATAGGTAAATTTACTATATGTTCATATTAAATTTTTATCCATAAAAAATATTACAACAACTCTGAACATAGATGAATGTCTAATTCTGAATTATAATGTTATCGTGTTTTTACCAGTTTTTGTCTTGCAAATAACTGCATGTATATTTTCAATTGAGTTGCTTTGTTAAATATTAGATGCTATATATATTCTAATGTTAAAGTAAACCCGTAAATTGCATGGATACAAATACTAATATCTAATAATAAATATAATTAGATCTATGTTCTTAATGATCTATTCAATCTTCGTGTCTTTATACTAATTAACTTGACTGTTACTTGTTTATTACCTTTTGAATGGACTTACAAACATACCAAAATATCACTGTTACTTACCTATATTCACAATCAATACTTTGCATTCTCATATTTCACAGCATTGTCTGAGATAAAAATTAAATGAAGTTAATTATACCCAATTAAAGTAACTACTATCATATCTTAGAGTTTCTTCTTGCAAAAACAACGTATCAAATATTTTTTGTTTTGGTATATAATAACAACAATAAAGGTTAAATTTGAGATATTGTTATCATAACTATTTAATATTTCATCAATTATAATTAATACGCTGGAGTAGTTAATAACTTAATATTTTACGATTCACGTTAAAGAAAGTTGGTGAAATAATCTCATTCATCATATCCTTGCCTACTTGGTACTATAAATAATCTCATTCATCAATTATATACCCCTAAAGAAAGATAAATAAAAGGTCAAATTACCCTTTTATCTTAATAGTTTTGGAAATTATATCTTTTAATTTTTGTAGTTAAAAATATTCTATTTTAATTCTTATACATATTATCTTTATTCTCTTTAAATTTCTATCATCTATTTCTATATCAACTAGAAAGAAAAGTTTATGAAATCAGAAAGACTAAAATAGGAAATTTATGTAATTATAAGGATTAGAGACAAAAATTTAAGCAAATGTAGAAAGTAAAAGAGGAAAAGTATATAAAATATAAGTATTTTTTTAATTATAGAGAATAAAAAGTAAATTTATAAAATTATAGGAAAAATAAAGTAATTTAAACAAAAACTAAATTGCGCCCCCAACACGAAAACATGTTGCCCAATAGCCCATTTTTGGTCAGTGAAAAAAAATGTTGACATGTCATCATTGTTTTGGCCCATTAGTATTAATAGTGGAAAAAAAAAAGGATGAAACGCTGCGTTTCATAGTTAGGGGCAAGTCCAAAGTGTATGCTGTTGTGGTTAGGGTGCAACCATTTGTCATCGGAAATCATCAATTCAGGGATTGAAACCGACCCGTTTTTCTTCTTCTTTGAATTCCCCATTTTTCAATTGGTATGGTTCCATTTCCTTCTTCAATTATGGGAAAATTTTAATCATTCCTTCAAACCTAGTATTCACCGTTCGTTTATTTTTTCCCTTTTTAATTCCAATGGATTATATTCACTTTGCGGCTTAAATATATTAACTTTTTTGAATTTTAATACTTGGGTTGCGTCCCAGGTTGTAGAAGAACAATTATTGAAGTGTTAGATTACCACAATGGACACTCAGAGTGCTGAAGACACCGTTGATATTGATCTTGGAGGGGTTTCGTCCAGTGGAGAAGCAATTGGGGATTTGAAACTGAATCTGGCATGTTTCTCTGAGAAAGTTACAAATTTGAGCAATTTTGTGATGCATTTGGAAACTCTCGGTGTTGAATTGGAGGGCCTGGTTTTGGAGAAAGAAGACAATGACGCGGACATGGATTTTGTTGGGAAGTGTCTGGAGTTTGATCTGTTATGTGGGGTGTTGGGTTCTGAGGTTGTGGAATTGGATAGGTTCTTGGACTCCCTTCAAGCTGAGGTTGCTGACGCTGGAGAGAGGGTGGCCTCTTGCAATCCCTGGCAAGACAAGTTGCTGGATTCTGAGCAATGTTTGAGGCAGTCTGAGGAGCAGTTTTCAGAGATTAAGAAACAGTATGCTTGTTTTCAGAGGACTTTGTCTTCTTATAAGAGGGGAGGAAATGGTATGTGGAGGATCTCATTGATTGATTCATTTATGTAGGTTATATTTTTTTTGGTGACGCATTGATTGCTTCGTGTTATTTATTTCATGATTTTGTCGTTTTCATTAAGTTGATGGAAAGGGTATTTCTAAATCTTTTATACCTGTCCCATCATATTCCGGGGGTCCACTTCAATTCACATGTGATATTGTTGGAGGAATAAAGTGGGAACTCCCCTCGTGCATTAATGGTTTTATTCTATTAGAGGAAAAAATTGTGAAGAAAATTGGACTGGCTGATTCTTGATGAATGTGTGAGCCATAAGAATATCTTTGTCTAAATAATTCTCTGTTTCTGACAAATACTTTTTTTTTACCTTTTCTTTTAATGACAACAGGTTATGTTGAAGAGGGCGAGATCATCTTAGAGGATGGCCCATCTTTAAATGTAAACACAGTAATGACGATGCAAACAACTGAGCAACAAAGGCATGTTCTGAGGATGCTAGAGAAATCTTTAGCAAATGAAATGGATCTTGAGAAGAATTTCAATAACTCAAGACAAATTGAAGAAAAGCTAAAAGAAAAGATGGTTTCTTTAGAACAGGAGCTATTTCTCATGGAAGAAGAAGCAACTAATGGTTGGGAAAGATGGCTTGAGGCAGATAATGCACATGTGATACTGACTGGAATTTCAAAATCACTGTTGAATAAACTCCAGATTTCTCAATTCAATTTAAATGGTTTAAGTCAGCGTGAATCTGAGCTCAAAGCTAAGCTTGAAACTTCCATAGAACAATTGAAAGTGAAGGATGTTACTTCAGACAAGATTGGAAGCGACAAGGTGTCTTCTCTTGAGAAGCAGCTAAAAGAAACTGAAAGCCAGCTACTGAATGTGAAGACTTCTGCTAATGAATATCAGAAAAAGTATAATGTTTTGTGTTCTAGAGTGCGAGACATGGAAGACCTTATTGTTGAATTGAAAGGAAATGTATCTCATGCAGAAAGTCGAGCTAATGCTGCAGACGTGCAGTGTAAAGTATTGACGGAGACCAACAATGAACTCAGCAAGCAACTGGATCTTTTGAAAGATGGTGGCGGAAAATCTGAGAGGGTGGAGTCACTTGAAAGGCAGCTAAAGGAATCCAATTTACAGCTGCAGCATGCAGTAGCATCTGCTGAAGCTAGTCAAGAGAAGCAAAGTATGTTGTATTCCACAATTAAAGATATGGAGCATGTGATAAGGGAACTTAAGTCAAAGGTTTCTAAAGCTGAGAGTTGGGCTGACAGTGCAGAGAAGAAATGCATTATATTATCTAAATCTAATACTGATTTAAATGAGGAAGTAAGCTTCTTGAGGAGTAGATTGGAATGCTTGGAGGGATCACTACACCAAGTGGAGGAAGCAAAAGTGGCATCTGCAAAGGATATCGGAAAGCAGACCAAAGTTTTCAAAAATTTGGTGATGCAGCTGGCTGTTGAGAGAGAGCGTATTAATAAGCAGGTAAGATCAGGCTTTTGAAATATTATTTCAGGCTACAAAGTAATCAAACCATCCGGATCTGTGATGGCAGGGATTGTTTGTTTATAGGCTACTAGATCTCTGGTCTGCATGATATTGTGTATTAAGTGTTTCTTGCTCATTAATGAACAGAAACAGCTAGGATTTCAAATGGCATCAGTCGATCTGTATATTATAATAACTGAATGTTGTTTGAATATAACTATGTATGAAACTACATGATGCTTTTGTTTGTTTGTTGGGTCAGTTTGTGAATAAGAATTGAACAACTTAACAAGCATAGCCATTTTTTCCCTTGAGTTTTCCACTTTCTGCCTTTAGATTTTGACTAGTTATCTTTCTCATATGCAGAGTTGTTCCAATTTATTTTTAATTTAAACATGGATCAACTTAATAGAAAATTCAGAGGATGAAAATTCAGCAGTTGTTTACTTGACTATTGGGATGCATTTTTTCTTAGAAAAAATTTAAGCCATCTTGATTGAAGAAGTAGAAAAAGAGAAAATATACAAAACAGAAAGACTTTAAAACAAATATGATTGAAAATTTTGAATCATGTGCTGAATTGTAAGATATTCGAAAGGGAAAATCTTTTGGTGTTAAGAACTCAATCTTAGCAAAAGGTAGATTGGGTTTCTTATTGGCTCTATTATACCAGTTCATGGTTTGGTGAAATTGTTGTACTTTGTCTGCAGCTTTCTTCCTTAGCAAGTGAGAACAAAATATTGGTTGTGAAGCTAAAGCAGACAAATAAGCATCCTTCTCAAGAAGTTAGTGTGACTTTGGCCACTGACCATGAGGTAGGTACTTCAGATTTTATTAACTAGTTTTTTTTATTTTTTACATGTGGTTGATGTATGTGCTAAAATCTCCAGAGCAAGTTAACTTAAAAGATTAGTAAGCTTCAAGATGCATTTTCTTTTACCTAATTCTTTTAAAACTTGTACATTTTCTAACAGGATTATCTGGATAATAGTTGGCTACTTAAAAAAATACAAAAGGGCAAATTTGCCTGCTTTCTTAGGGCGACAAATGTCAAATGTATGTATTTCTAAAAACATAATTTTGATAGGGAAAAAACGTGTCAAAATTTTCTTCATCCAATTTAGACAAGATGTTAATATTTAAAACTTGTCATAATGATTTCGCTCTCTTTATTTATAATAAATATACACTAAAATGATTGTGTCTATGTGCAATTTATGGATGGGGTTGGGAAGATCATGATGGGAGCATTTCTGCTGGTGGCAGTTTGCTATTTTTAAGTACTAATATAAATGGCGTCATGGCTTGCTTCTAGGCTCCTATTTTATGTTATGTTAAACATCCTTTTAACTTGAGTCTTATATTTGGTTTTAAGATGTGCCGATGGGATATGTCAGGATTGTTTTTATTTTTATTTTTATTTTTAGTTTTTATCATTACTACTGTCTCTTGTAGGGAATCTAATCTTTCTAAGATGAAAAAAATGCTAATTCTTGCTATTAGTTATAGATACTTAGATGTACTTTCAGCAATACTTGCAACTTGCATTAAAATGCAGTTTTGTGGTTAAGAAGCTGTGCTGTATGCTATGTCTTCTGTCATAAATTACTACATTAAATTAATTTGTTCTCTCTAATTTTTTGGCCAGACTTTCTCTTCCTCTACAATACAATGCATATAGAAAATAAACATAATTACACATGATATTATCTTACGTTAGCACCTGGTTCTTAGTAGAATTCTGATCCTAAGAGAAAGACTCGACACTGAAACGTTATTAGCTCTGCTGGCTACCTTTAATGTTTCCATTTTTTCCCTATACTGTTATTTAATATATTTTTCGGGGAAATATTATTATATTATATACGCCAAAAAGAGTACATGTAACATTTTATCATTGCTGTCAGCTCACTTTCTGAAGTTTTGTAACAGTTCACAGATAGGAACATCAGATAATAGAGGACTTAAATATTTAAAATAATTTAAAGCGCATAGAAGAAAAATTTGAACGGATCAAAGTTCTAATTGTTGCTCCTATTATCATTTCCAGCTGGACAGGACTTGGAAAAATTCATCTACAAATGATAATGAAGTAAAATTTGCAGATTCTATGCCAGATGCTGATACTGTGAGGAGAATAGATGCAGGAGTTCTTAATTTTAAGCACTTGTTCATATTATCAGTGCTTGTCTTACTGGTTTCAGCCATGACTTATCTGCATTCTGATGTTAATCTTGAATGAATTTTCAGAATATTTTTTTCTTGTATTTTGGGATCTAGGTGAGGAATGAGGTGTAGGGGGATGGAACCCCCAACCTTAAATACCACAATGCCGGATTAGTATAGGTTACAAGGTCATTGATATCGTAGGCTTTAGTTCAAGTTGTTGTGTAGTAATCAAATTTTGTTGTAATAGAGAATGGTCGTTGTAGAAGTGATCCTTTTATTACCATATTATGGATTTTTTTTTAAAATATATTTTTTTGGTACAATCCTTTCTTATTCGCCAGAGGGGTATGTTGAGCATTGTGAATTGTTTTATTAGGTGACATAAATTTACAGAATAGGAAAACAATACCAGGAGCAGGTTAACTACACTTGACAGCTAGTACCTTAACTATGATTCCAGCTAATGCATCTTATGCTATATGCTCGTAGTTCACAGGCATGCTAGTCAAACAATATTAATCAAGTACAAGATCTTCATCGAACTAATTTAGTGTGTTTGATAAAGATTATTTCAGGGAAAAAAAATTTCTTGAAAAAATATCAGAAAACTATGAAAAAATAATATTGCTTGATCAAAATAAAGTGAACGAAACACAGTTTGGCATCCAAGGAATGAAATCTTTGTTTATAACAGTTGTTTGGTGGCATTCCTTGTTCAACCTTATTGCTTTGGATTGTGTGCATTGCAAATACAGAGGAACAATGGTGCAAGTATTTGAACTGCTTAAAATAAAGAGTCTAATCATATTAAATGTATTGTTTAATACGCAGGAATAGGGTTGGGAAGTTTAGAATGATAAAAACAATAAAGTGAAAATAAATGTTCCTACCTCTGTTCTTAAATATAAGATTCAATTATTCAATTCACCAAAATTAAAAAAAGTAATTAATTTAGTTAATAATAATAAATTTATCTTATTTATAATTACGGGACGATATTCTTTCCCAATATCTAATATAAGCACCTATAATATTCTAATTAAAGGAAAGATGGAGATTTGAGTATATGCGTGTCCCAAGATCAAGTTTTGATAACATTTTTTTCGATAGATGTAGAAAAGAAAAATAACACCGACAACAAAATTGTGATTTTAACATTTTATCGATATATATAGAAAAGAAAAACAACACAGACAAAAAAATTGTGATTTTATTCCATTGCAACTCGTTAAATTTCTGTGCTTGAGAGCATAATGTAATGTCTGTCAAGCTACAAGTATAGCTAGGGTATCAGTGCAAAAATTTCCATCCACTCGAAAAGAGTGACATAGGTCTACTTACCAGTTTTATTTGATGGTTGCATGAATCAGTTTATAACGATCCCATGGTATGAAAATGTGAATCTGACTTATGAATCAAGTGAAGAACACCTGGAGAACCAAATTACATGTTTTCTACTTAAGATAAAGATGATCACATGCTTGGATCGTCTCCTCCACATCACATTCAACTGTGTATTATCTCACAACGAATCAGCATGGATGATGAATATACATTGGAGGTGATGAGATGGCTGAATAAAAGATAAACCAACCAAAACTCTTGGTGTCCCTTAAGAAGCCTCTATAGCTAGCCAGACCCGTGTTGAAGGTCTAATTAACCCAAGCCACTATTCAATGAAGGCTAATCTGAACCAATCTCAGCATGTGAAACAGCACAACCCATGCACCATTCAGTGTAAGGGAATCTCCATTAAGCCATCGTAGGCAGTGTTTGAAATCTTCCCTACATTATTACCTCACACTACAAACGGTGGTTTTGAGCCCCTCATAAGGATCTTGTTCTTCAACCTCCTCATCAAGCATGAAATCAATATCTGGAACATAACCAGCCCACTTCATCTCATCCACAAGTAAATGAGTTTGCTGATATATCTCTTCAGATCTTGGATGTGCCTTGTCTCCAACAAGAAATGTGTGTACCTCATCTCTGATCTCTATCCAGCTACAACCTGGCTCCTTCTTTAACTTACAGTTCTTCATTATACTTCTGATTTTTGCGACCTCACCCCACATCCCTGCGTTAGCATATACATTTGATAAAAGAACAAAAGCAGAAGAATCTTGAGGGTCCAACTGCAATAAAGAATTGATTGCTTTTTCTGCAACTTCTACATTCCCTTGCATCCTGCAATTACTAAGCAAAGTTCTCCAAATTACATCATCAGCTTCAAAAGGCATGCTTTCAATAAGATTCAAAGCTTCATTTACTTGGCCTGACCTCCCTAATAGATCTACCATGCATGAATAATGCTCCATATGGGGATCTAAACCATAGTGACTTTGCATTTTCTGGAAGTAATGGAGTCCTCTGTCTACATAACCCATATGTGCACAAGCTCTGAGGACTGAAATGAAAATTGTATGATTTGGTTTCACATTCAAAAGCTGCATCTCCTCAAATAATTTAATGGCCTCTTCTCCAAGACCATGGTATGCATATGCACAAATCATGGCACTCCACGTCACATAATCCCGTTTTGGTGCCTTCTCAAACATTAGCCTGGAATCCTGCATATTTCCACACTTCGAATACATATCTACAAGTGTGCTGGCTATATACACGTCGGAATGCAACTGTAGCTTTAAAACTTGAGCATGAATCTGCTTTCCAAGTTCCACGGTAGCCATATTAGCACAAATATCAAGAACTGTAGCATATGTGAAGTTGTCAGGTATTACACCCATTTTCAGCATCAGAGAAAAATACCTCTGAGCATTTTCACTTTGCTTTTGTGATGAAAATCCTGAAATGATTGAATTCCAGGACACAGTTGTTTGCTCTTCTAGTCTGTCGTGGATCTTTTCTGCCTCCGTTAGCATCCCACACTTGCCATACATATCAACAAGGGCACTGCCAACAAACCAGTCTAACCCCATCCCGGACTTAATAATTCTTCCATGGATCTCCATACCATAGTTTAAAGCATGCTGACCAGCACATGCCTTTACAACACTACCATAAGTAAAATCGTCAGGTTCCATTTTTGATCGCAGCATTGAAACAAAGAGTGAAAGCGTTTCCTCTCTTTCTTCATTTTGTTCATGAGCTGCAATGATTGCATTCCAAGACACAGCATCCCTTCTTTCCATCTCGTCAAATATTAAACAGGCTTCCATCAAAGCTCCACATTTTCCATACATGTCTAAAATTGTATTTGCAACGCAAATATTAAACCCTAAACCACATTTGACTGCTAATCCATGTAGTTGGATCCCCTCCAAATGACCTTTGATCACTGAACAAGCAGTTAAAGCACCAGACAAACTAATTTCGTCAAAGCCAAGATAAGACTTCTGTAAAGACTGAAAAACGTCTAAAGCTTTACGACCTTGATCTTGCCGAGCACATCCAACAATAACAGCATTATAAGATTGCCGAGGAGGATTAGGCAATGTGTTAAATACTTTCCAGGCATCAGACATTCTGTCACATTTGGCATACATGTCTAATGTGGCAGTTCCAACTATACTGTCATATCCAAAATCAGACTTTAGAGCGTGACCATGCAACTGTGTTCCCAATTTAAATGCCGATAATCCAGCACAAGACCTGAACACGCTAGCATAGGTTGATTGACTCACCCCCATACCCACTTTCAGCATATCCTTAAACAGTTTCAATCCCTCAATAAATCGGTCATTCTGAACATAGCCTGCAATTACAGCACTCCAGCATACCAAATTTCTCTCAGGCATTTCACGGAAAACCTTAAAAGCATCATCTAGTTTCTTACATTTTGAGTACATATCTACTAGAGCACTACCTGTCACCACATCATTCTCAAAACCCATCTGAATTGCAAGGCAGTGCACCTGAAGCCCTAAACCATAGTCTTCAACTCCTGAACAAGCTTTCAGAACAACAGCAAATGTAGCATAGTCATGTGGGATTTTCAGTGATCTCATCTTGACAAAAATTTCAATTGCATTGCGACTAACACCGTTATTTAAATAACAAGAGAGCAAAGAATTCCAGGAAACGACATCTCTTTCAGGCATTGAGTCAAACAAAGATTGTGCAAACCCCATGTTGCCAATCCCAGCATACCCAAATATCACAGTATTCCAAGAGATTACGTCCCTTTGGGGCATTCTCTCAAACACCTTGAGTGCATGGTCCATATCGGAATTTTTGCAATAGAATTGAAGTAAACAGTTGGCAACGTAGATGGTGGGCACAAAGCCAGTTACAATCATCTGGGAATGGGCTTGTTTGCCAGGATTCAGAGCTTTAAGGTTGGAACACTTTTGGAAAATATGGGAAAATGTTAACTTTTTGGTGGGGTTCATTTGGGTTGACGAAAGAGTGCAAAATGCATAAGGTGGCAGGGTTTTGTGGAGTGAGTATGATGAAGAGTTGAGCCTTGCAAGACAAAGGCCACAAGACATACGCTGTAACATGATATCATCTACTCACTATCGTAGTACCATGCATGAATTGGCGGGTTTTTCACACTTCAAAACAAAACAATGGTTCCTCACATCATTGTTTTGATTCTATTTCCCCGTGTTCTATAAGAGAAGATAGTTCCAAATAAATAAATTAAACCAAAATAAAAAAGATAAACAGGCTTAAGAAAAATAAAACAATTTACTCGTACCTTTTTTTTTTATAAAAAGATTTATGTAACAAACTATAAACTAACAAAAATTAAACAATAAATAAATAAAGCAAAAGTAAATATGTAAAATAATATTTGTTGTCATTATTTATGTTAATGTATAATGTTAAAATAGCATATTTAGGGTCCGCTTTTCTTTTAACAAAAAATAAATTAGTAAAAAATTACGTACTGTATATATGGGATAAAATATTGAAGAAAAAAAATCACCAACAATGTGTTTAGTTTTGATGAAGGAATTTAAGAAAGTAATTATTTTTTTTTTAGAAATTTCAAATGCTTTGAATGATAAGAATTGAAAATAAAAAGTATATTTTTGGACCATTAGAATTGAAAAAAATAAAATTATCAAATTACAGAATTATGATTGATTTCATTTTAAATATTTTGTTTAAAAAAAACATAAGAAACCTAAAGAATGTAATGAGTCTGATTTTGGTTCAAAACATTTCATTCCATTCAATTCATCTTTAACTCACTCAATTCGAAGTAATAGCTGAAATACCAAAATTAATATAACTTATTTTACGAACAATTTTTTATTTTTATTTTTTATGTGGAGGAAAAATAAGTTTTGACTTTGTCAACCATTAATAAGGGTAGAATGAACTCGTGTCCTACTTTTACATCTAATTAATGTTTTCAAAATCAAATCGGTTATAAAACTAGTCTAAGTACCGATTTAATAATTTAATCATAATCAAATTGATATTAATAAAATAATAATAATTATTATTATTATTACCATCAATACAAAAATAATATTAAATAAATATAATATCATAATTTTATAATACTAAAAATTATAATAAAATGTTATTTATAATTTTTTAACATTTAATACGATATAATATTTAAGTTTAAAATTTTAATAAAATATAACAATATCCATTAATAATAATAACATGTTTATATTTAGATTATATAGTATCAAATTAATATAATATAAATTATAAAAAAATATTAAAAATTAACATAAATGATTAGATTATATTTATAAGAGAGGTATTGAAAATAAGTCATTCAAATTTATAATTTTTAAATATATATTTTGATTAGAAATATTTTAAATTAAATTTTAAAAATAAAAAAATATTTTTTAATTGAATTAGTTCAACTAATTTTTTTTTATTTTATTGATTCTAACCAATTCATTGTTAAATGATTTTGAAAATCAACTGAAGCGGTTGAGAATTGATTTTCAGTCAAATTAACCCAATCAACCAATTGAGTCCGATTTTCAAAATTATGCACTCAACTAATGCTTATAAATAATAAAAGTCAACCCATAAATATGTAATTTTATCCTTGCCACGTTAGAGTAAATTTTTGAGGAACACTTCTAGCTTGATCTCAAGTCTCATATCCAAGGAGTAGATGGCATTCTGAGATAGTATAACCCTACTACGAAATTCACACTCAAATCAAGTTTGGAGTAGTTTCATTCTACATTGTTACTTCCCAAAGAGTATGCTAGCTTCTCACTAATATGAGTTGATGTTTTTCTTTATTAACCATTTTCTTTAAACGGATGTCAACTTTCAGTGAGAGAAAAAAATTCCAAGGTGACTCAATCAACTTGTGACTATTTTGAATTTAACTATACAAATTTCTTCAAATAATATATTTAAATTTTATTAACAAAAATAAGTGAATGAAAGCTTTTAGTATAGATAAAATTTTCAATATGTTTTAGAAGAATTTTAAATAAGAAAATAATAATAATAATTTTTTATTATTAATTAAAATTTATTATATATCACAATAAAATTAAATATTTTATACAAACTACCTTAATCTTCATCACACGACTGAATTTAGTTAGTGGGTTATAATATGTGTGATAAAATTCATCTCAAATCTTATATGAATATATCAAATAACAATTTTTTATGTAAAAAAATATATTTGCATTTCAATTGAAATTCTTCCAATATGTTTGATGCCATGATGGCAAAAAAAAAATTCGGGTTAAATAGACATATTTGGGACAATAATTCTTTTATATGTAAATTTCATTTGTATTTTTTCTCAAATTCATCTAAAATTTCAATGACATTTCATACAAAATATTTTTTTCTTTGATAATACCATTTTTCTAGCCACCAATTCTTCTATTTACTAAATGAAAAAAAAATTGAATATTAAGATTTTCAAGGTAATGAATACATTTTTATTCCTTTTTCTTTAAGTATTAAGAAGATCAATAAGAAAATATTATAAAAGGTCATAAAATTAGTCTTGGTATAAGTAATGTGTCACTCAACAAGTGGCATGATGTAACGACAATATATTATATCTTCTGTTAGCAGTGTATCTAAGATATATACCTGTAAAGTTAATTTTCTTTGTGGTTTCTGCTATTGGTGGTACAATATGTCATGTCAGGTTCTTGACTTGTTGGATTACCTAAAAATTTTTGAGGTTTAGATTAAGTTGGTTGTCATTTTTTACAGCAGAGAATCTTAGAAGCAAGATAGTTATTTATTTCTTCTGTACATGCAATGCCTACAGCAAAAGCAAGAGAGTTGTAAGATCTTTTGGTGGATTTACTTCCCCTATACATCCACTTTTGAGGTTTGTTTTTTTAGATAAAAAAATCATGTATCAATAGTGTAAAACATAATTAAATTGTCATCCAATCACACATTATCATATATTTATTAACTTTAATAATAATTACTTTAAAAGTCATACCTACTGAAATTTCTAATCGGTTAAATCCTTGTTCTAAAACTATGAAAAATGGAGCACAAGGAAGAAAACAAACTAAGGTTGTCATTTTCTTAGTTGCATTAATTCTTTGATTCCACAGTGTCCACCATTGCAATCAAAGAGAGCACTCATTAGAAAAACCTTGCTTTGTGTGGCCCTTGAGAGTGGCTTTGGTTCAACATTTCTACCAAGTACTACGACCCTTTATTTCCGAGTGATTTTTTTTAAAGGGTAAGTGGGGACTAAGAATCATTATTACTTCAATCATTCTGGGTTTGAAAATGATAGGCAAGAAGGGTTTTTCAAGCTTAGTGCCCCTTTTGTTTAGCTTTCTTGGTTGTTTTGGCTTACGCTTCACTTGTTGTTTCTCTAATTCCCCCTTTTGTCTTACCTTATAGGTGCATTAGCCCCCACTACCACTTCACCATTTTGTAGCACACCCAACATAACATTGACAATTCCTGTTAAATCTGCTCTCTACACACTGAAAATCTACAAAGCAGGCTTAATGCAACAACGCAATCCAGGAGCATCAATATAAATGTTCAACATATTGGAGAGGAATCTTTTTTGTATACAAGAAAAACACTACTAGTGTCCTTTGCCAAGTTGTTGAAAATTTGAATTCTGTCATTGAATACAGAATATGTTACGTTAAGAGAGAAAAATATTCATCTTATATATTATTATAGTTCAAATAAGTAGTCATTATACTTGATGAAAAATATTTTATATCAATATTATTGTTATACAAGAAAAGAACTTGTATTAATTTGTTTATAGCTCATAAATAATTAACTTGCATAATAATAATTGACATCACCAATAATCAATTTTGGTTGAAAAATAATAATAATAAAAAGTGTTGATTATGTAAGTTTATCCATTATGTTAGACATTGGGCAAAAGGCTTTATCCTCTGAAGCAATACTATTGTGACACCTTTGTGCTTTAGTAGAGTGATGTCAAGACAAGAAATTCTGGTCAAGGAGGCACTGGATTCTGAACAGTTTGGCGAACTGATTGCTGAGACATCAAAGATAATGTTGACGGGAGGACAGATAAAAACAAAACCAGAAACACAAAAGAGAGAGCTAGCCCAAAGCAGACCGCAAAAGAAAACAACCTCAAGAGGGTGCATATAAAAGCATATCACATACTAATAATTTTGTGCTATATGATAGCATTAAGTAAGGTGTGTCGTCTCATGTTTGGAGAGAAGAAGGAAGGACTATGTAAGATGCTTTAGACATCTTTCTCCTTCTCATTATTTGATTTTTTTTTCTTCTTTTTATGTGGACTCAGGATACTCTCTGATCAAAAACTAAAGATTAATCCTTTGAAATACTAAAATTTATTTAAGAAATTAACTTTTCTTGACAAATGTTATTTCATATACACAAAGCTAAAGATCAAAAACTCCGAATAACATAATTAAGAGACATAACTATCTACCAACTATACCACACTATGCTTGTTTTCATTATTTGAATTCAGCTTGCTTAGTTTTCTGCATAATCAGTTCTTTGTTTCCCTCTAATTGCTAAAGTTGTTATTATTACATTAAATTCTCTGAAAAGAACATCAACTTTAACCTCATCTTTATCTATATTTAAAAGTTGATTTTCCCATTCTTTGCAGCACTGATCCACTTCAATAGTGTACTTTTTAATTGGTTTCTTTACAAGTTTCGTAATAACGTTAATTAAATAACTTAGCTGGTTTCATATGGGGTAGTTTTCGAGTCTTTTTTAATAGCAGTACTGAGGCATAAGGTTTTGATTGTTGTTTCTTAAATTCTACAAGACTCAAAAATATCTGCCATGCCTTCTGTTTTCTACTGGTTGATTAAATTATATATTAAATTGATCACTTTGAAGATGAATTGATTTAAGCACAATGCACTACCATATGATTATGTTAGGAATGAAACTAAGTGGCAAACGTTAAATTGCACTTAGCCATGTATTAATAATAACACATTAAGTTTTGCCTACAAAAGTCTAAAATTGCTATTTAACACTTGGCAAGAATATGTGAAAACTGTGGTTGGATAATCTACGACACCTGACACTACCACACAGTAGCAGCAACAATAATAACACAATAACAACTTCTTATTGATGTGATGAAGTAAATTTTAAGTGTGTTTTAAAAG